GATACAAAAGACGAAAACGTCTGTAAATGCGTCGAATCCACCTTTAAAATTAGAGCGTATCGAGGAAAAGACTTGTCTGCAGATGTCTACGAAAGGATTGACCATAGCGAAAAATTTGGATTATGAAGATATCGAGTCACTTCCGGAGATTATACCACCACCTCCTAAAACACCTCCTGCGTTGCCTCCCAAACCGCAGTTCAAGAATAACACGTTAATCTTAAAAAAGATTCCTAGCCCCTCGTTTCTCATCGATGAGACGCGGAAGAAGCAACAGTTACTTGAACCTAGTTCGTCTGAACATAGCAAGAAAATATTCGGTTTTATATCTTCTCCTTTAAAATCTGCGGGAATTAACGTATCATCTGCGAGAAGTTTAAACTTCGACGATGCGATTAATAAAGTTACAGGGAACAATGACGAGGGGAACTTCTGGAAAAACAGGTTTAATAATGTCCGATCTTCATTCCAAACGCGTCAGAGCGTCAGTCATGAAACTAGTGGGGAACAAACCCGGAAAATTCCCAGAGTCACTAACATTGTTCGCCATTTTGAAGAATTCAAAATTGGCGGTGAATCGGAGGATCAAACAAAAGAACGCACAAAAACCAAGGAGAAACATGTCCATTCAGAATTTGATCAGGAATTTGATATCAGACAAAATTTTGAAGAGTTCAATTTGGATGAATGTGATTTGTCAGATGATCCCGACAGACCAGAGGGCGATGGATCGGAGAGGCTCGGTAATCTTGGGGCGACGGTTGGTCAGAACGAGAAAACTGCCGCAACCAAAGACAATAATAATGTTCCTCTTGCTGCGAGCAATTCGAGCAGCGGCTACGATCACTTCTTAGAAGCTACAGGTCTTAGCAACAAATCCATATTAACACCATCGAGGTTGCTGAGCAACCACAAGAGTATGTTAAAACCAAAAGACGTCAAGTATAAGAATAAGATCAAAGCGACAGCAGTTATGGAAAAACATGGTGTTTCCACGACGAACAATACTACCCATATTAGACATTGGACTGGCCCATTTGTCTGACGACTGGTTCAAGTTTTTCCAAAAAATCTGTTTCGACAAGAAGCATCTGCCGAAGGAACTTAAATTAATAAGCAACCGAAAAATAGTAACCATAATATGAATTAGTGATCATCAAAACCGTGCTAGGAACATGATTCTTTAAGTGCAAAATGTAATTCTGTAAATTATTAATGTTCTCTTTCCTCTTTTTAATACCTTTATCAGATTTTTTGTTACTAAAGAAATTGTGGAACGTAGAAGTTAATTTATTTATAGCACCTTCAATTTAAAGAATACTTGAATATGTTGTATATTTTAATAAAATGTTGCTTACCTATTTATAGCATTACTAATCAAGTCACAATTAATTAATTTTTAGTACATCATTGGGAATAGCTTATAAACGTAAATACTTACATATGTTAATAAGCTTTTTTCACTATGAAGTGCCACAAGTAAGTTCATTTACTACGAAAATCAACGTTTTTGTTATTTTCTAGTTAAAGTTGTACATCAAAAATTGAAAATATTAAATTATAGTGGTCTCAAATTAAGCTATAATTACGTTCGTCATCCGGTATTTTGTGAAATTCTAAATACCAAACTCTAATCAGTATCTCAACCAACTGTTAGTTAAACCTTGTAGCATTTGAGAATCTGTATGTACGTAATTACGAATTAACTATTCATCAACTAAATGATATAAAAGCAAAATATACATATTCTATAAAAGTATTAAAGGCATTCATTCGAGGATAAAAGTAAAGATGTACTTATTTTTTGTTGGAAATAAAATTAAAGATGACTTTATTGAAAGATTCCTGCGTTTGATTAAGAAATAGGAATACACCAGTATAATATTAAGTATTTTGTGGCGATTTATAAACAACTAGAACATATCATACAATTATATATAATATACATATATAACTTCTACTATCTATAAAAATACAACGCAACTCTATAAAAATACGGTGCTAACTGTTACTGGTATCAAAATCTAAATAGGGTATGGAAGAGAAAAGTACTTTAGAAAATGGACAATATTTAAATTCGAACACTTCATTGATAAATGTTTTGAAAGTAATTCCATTTTCGTAGGTTAGTATGAATCACTCGTTCAGGCACTCTATTACACTTGGCTAGTGCTATATTATCAATACAAATGTATAGACATAGCTGAAAAATTGCGTGAAGAATCACGCAATTAATTTGGCACAGTGGTTTCTTCAAGTTTCTCTCTCTGCACAAAAATCGTAAAAGAACTGCAAAATTAAATAAAAAATAAGAATATTAAAAACATTGGTACATTACATGCTTTGAATAAATATTAATTATACCTCTTTATCCAAGTCTTTCTGAGTCCAAATTTTAATCACAGGAAGTTTATTCTAAACAACATGAAATAATTGTTGAAAATATATGAAATTATATACAAAAAAATATAGACTTTTTGTACAAATTACTTACAGTAGAAGAATCAGAATGAACACTAAGACGTGGATTAAGAACAAATGGGACTCCATCCAAATCGGAAGATCCTGGAAGTGTACCATAAATTGATGTAGATCCAACAACTGTTGATGTAGGGGGTTGCGGAGCAGGTCTCGTAGGTCTAATTCTTGCACTAGGACTCAAAATTTCATAATCTCTATCGTTAGATTCCTCTGTATCCTTTCCTCCACTTCCACTAATTTTTGGATAAACCCCATTTGCTGGTTTTGGCGAAAACTTTGGTTTTGGTGGCCTCTCAGGCGGTATTTTATGGGGTGTCCCATTTGATGGATTTGGGGAAGCACTTTGTAGTAAGCTATAAATAAGACGTTATATAGAATAAGTGGTAAGCATTAAGGCAAATACATCTTAATTGCTTATAGGATAAAGACGATTCTTACTCTATATTAACATATGACTGTGAATTTGAATTCCCATTTACAATATCCACAGTTTTGTAGCAAACACAAACTCCGTTAATAACACTGAAAAGAATAGGAATAAGAATAATTTGATTTTTATGAAACTTTCATAAATATAAAATTCTATAGATATACCCAGCAGCAATAAATCCGTTTGGTGCCATTTTAGATGTATAAACTTTATGTATAACTCTACTACATATGATAATATCAGTAACTGCTTTCGAACATAGTTCCTTATTTCTAATTTTATAGCACACCTGTTTCTTTCTCCATGCCTTCTGCACTAAAATTCATTATTGCAATGTACTAAATGAAAATAAATTCTTGATAAATGATACATTGATTAGTCTTACGTATGCTCACTTGAATCTACAGTACAAGAAATTATGCTATATCCTTCTGGAGGAGTATCTCGTTCATTAATGACTACGATATCTTCGACCACACACTGCGGTAACCCTTCAGTCTTTGAAAAACATATGTATCTGCCTTTCTTTTTAATAAAAAGTCCACTTTCTCTCCATAGATCAGCATCAGTATCTTGGTCATATGTTCGTGATACCTAAAGGTAAAATAACGTTTAAAAATAGTACACATTTATAGAAAATTAAAAAATAGTAATATAAAAATAGTTATAAACACCAGGTTAAATACCCTAACTTATTTATACAAACTATCTTGTGAGGTTACTTACCACTGTAAAATTTGGTGGACACTTATCTATATCTTCAACAATATTTATGGCTGTGATGGGCCTATCATCAGGTAATACAGACGATAACTGGTGAACTAACATTTTGTTGCAATTAATCTTTTTAGACATTATTGCAACCCTGTTAAAAGTATATTTGTATAACTATTCATGTTTTCTTTTCCTTATAACATATATTATCTCACATATAAAAAATGTTAAATGTAATTTGTTATAAATTAATAAGTATAATCAACTGCTTCATAGATAATCACACTAATTGCAAAAAGTCAATTTGATAAATTGTAACATAACTTCAAACATATTTTAAATATCACAATTAATACAAGACATTGAGTAGTTAATATGTTTTGACAAGTGTGACAAGAACAGCTTTTATTGACATAAAGCACATTTCTCTACCAAAGTTCATTATATGTTGATTCATTAAAAGCGCCAGGAATTGAGGAATGTAACTGTGTGGACGTCCCGTACTTTATCTTGATGACCTATTTTCGATCGATAAAAAAATTTACGGTACACTGAAAATTGCTTGAAATAAGGAAATTACAAGCAACAAAAATTTAACAATGACATCTTTGAAACACGATAAAAACGAATTACTACAAAGGTCGCATTACTTATACATATACTTCACTTAATATAATTAATCTTTAAAGTATTCACGGCAGAGAAACACGCTTAACCATTAGTAATCATCCACGAAATTTGCACACTTCTCAATTTGCTTACCTTCGGAAAAAAATTGAAAATTTCGCGCGACACAAATTTAAAAACTTTGCATATTCATTAATTTATCTGCTGTTGTACTTTTAATCAGCCGGTCACTTAATTCCAACAGAATAACACGGCAATTTTCGATCGAATAACGATCGACTGGTTTTTCCTTTGACACGCAATCCTATTCTTCGGAAGATTCATTCGTAATAAAGTGAAGGTACTTCAATGCATATTAATAAACAAAAAGGATAGAAAGAACAATTGAAGGAATGAGCAGGACGGAGAAACTAATAGAGAGGAAAGTATCTATTGAGAGAAAGATAAATGTATACATATACAATCAATTGTTCCGTCACAGCTAATATTTTAACACTCACGTACTTTCAAATGATATGTGATAAAAACCTGATAAGATAACTAACGAAACTCATAAACACTGTTACTTATAAGAATGGCTTTCCTCCTTTGTCTCTTCGTTGAACGTTTTAACTAAATTGATATCAATGACATCACTTTTGCCACCACCACAACCTTAATGACCACCATCTTAACTGACTAGGGTAGTTGTGTTCAATAAGCTAACCTCTGTTTCCGTTCCTTACACGTCGTGAAACTTTACGGCGCTTTTCCTCGTCCTTCCTACACGATTCGCTCTTGCCGGATATTCGCTTGGTTTTATACGTATCACTCAGTTTTTAAGTGAATTAATCCCATTCCCAAGCAATAAGAAAATGGATGAGAATCATACGCCACCCCTTTATCAACATGCTTATTGTTTGATCTGTTTAAATAAATTGTTTAATACAATTTAAAAGTACGACAATGTGATACTTTGACCAACAGTGGCCATGGCCATGACACTCAGCTTTGATACTGAAGCTAAAGAAACCGCAAGGTGTTTTGTTTATCCTTTCAATGCTTTTATTCAAAATTTAATACAATTTAAAGTTAATGTTTTAATTATATATATATATTTCGGGCTTAAAGAGATTATTAATAAGTGGAATTAATATTATAGATTTTCAAATCTGATGCTAATTTTCAAGTGCATGAAAATTGCAGATGGCGCGGATGTTTGCATCTAAATATTAGAAGTACATTGGTATATATATACATATAAAGAGCAATATTATGTATTCACTTACCTTATCATTGCCGTCGCTTACTATGGTGTTTATTGATCAAATGGCGTATGATCAGTTTGATCTTCTAAGGAAATTTCGTGACATGGAACAAGGGTACAATAAGTGGACATTTACTCTGGCAAAATATAACTCTTTTACGAATAACTCCATGTTTCAACTATTAAAAAGGTATTTATTAACAATACTTACGTTTTCATTAATTTTCTTCATTAAGAATTACTTCTTAGTCGTAAAGTTACATAGTTTGTATAATGTAAATAAGAATAAGTTTGCAAATCAGTCGTGAAGCAATTAATTTGCAAAAAAGCATAGAACTGGTGTTAACACTAAACCTACCAGTGCCGGTCAAATTGACCGCTCTCGAACTTCTATTCAAATTTAACCATATTTAAACATTATCGTATCGCTTCATAATTTCTGACTTTTTCTAAGACATGCATCCAATATATTTTTCGGTATTTACTTTTAGTTTGCTCTTTTATTTTCTAAAAAAAATTTATATTCTGCCTTGCCCACCGCGAGAGGTCAATTTGATGAGCCGACAAAATATTTTAGTTATTCTTAAAATAAATGCAATCAGTACAAAGAAAAGGCTATCTCAAGATCAGATGATAAATAAAATCAGTAATAACAAATAATAATAACTGTTACGCCCGTAACCTTGTCAGAAACCATAATTCATATATATATATTTGTCGAAGGTGAAAGGACACCGGAGCCTTCCCTTTGGAACTTCGGGAAAATCCGTAAAATTGTAAAATTGTAATTAAAGTTTACAGTTGTAATTAAACAATTTGCCGTCATTCTGCCCAATTGCACTTGTTTGCGATTTGTGATAAACTTGGGCTAAAGGCGACCATCAGTCGCCAAACGTAGCCGCGGTCAACGGAACGGGCGCTTCGTCTAACAAAGGTGTGGAGTGGTAGTATGACCCTCATTAAAGGAAATACCCATAGAGGTACCTGACAGTAAAACATTCCAACGGTTCCTTCGGACAATGAATACCAAATGTTGAGGCACTTACACAATACAAGTTCAGTTAGCCTGAGGGCCCGCTATAAAACCTGGGTTTTTCCTGGAATTAAGATTTTTCAAACGGATAGGCAGTATTTGTCCCAAATTGACCAATTGACAGCGACATCAATTTCCCTTACTTTCGGAACGAGAGCTATACTTGACGAATCCGGTGATCTCGTGTCCTTAGACACACCCCATCATAGTTTTCCTCGGTGGCATCATCGGGACGAAAATTCATTCTTTCTTGCGATCTCCTCCACGAAGAGAGTAGCGCCTTACGATCTGTGAGTATTGTGTGAGCAAGTATATCTATCCTCCCGTTGACCGTGGATTCGTTATCGAACCTAAGACCAACGTCACTAGTATCGCCAGTGCCCAACCATCGCAGTTGATTGCCGAATCGGTAGTATCCATACTCGTAAAACCAGGCCGTACCTTCGTTATAACACAGCGATGGCCAATTCCAATGCAGATCTAGCAAACGCCCACAACCCTATTCCTGACGCTTCTCCGACATATACATAAGGTAGATGATGAGACTGTTTATGAGACCAGCTATTGTTTAGAATAGATATGGATATTAATAGGGATATGTTATTTCAAAATGTTGCT